ATAATATTGCAAACATCAAAAGAAAAGTGACCTACTACTTACAGATTAGTACTGCCCTGGGCTAGATATCCTTTTGGTCCAAATTTACAATCTGGGCTAACACCATAGAGGGATCTGTTATGACGTCTATTAAAAAAGAAAAATATGAAGGAATGATTATATTCACTTATATTCAGGGTATTAAAAATATTTGCTTAGTGATATTAAATTGAGAGTCAGGTTGTTGAATGTGATGTTACAGATACCGGAAAAATATCATTGACTTAAGAATGTCTTAAAAAATATAGTCAACTAGTGTAAATGAATTTAGAATGTAAGTTTATCTTTTAGCTAAAGTGATCTCTAGGCTGAACTAGACTTTGTCTTGAGCTTGTCTGGTTTGTATTTGAGTAGCCTCTATAGAATTATTTGGAATGTTCTTGAAAAAGATTTTTATCATTTCTAAAGGGAATCAAATAAATAAATAAGTGCTCAATAAAATGTTGACCACACAAGCATTGGTAGTGGAAATCCCATTCCATGTTGAAACATACAGATAAAACAAAGGCAAAAATTTTAAAAGGGCATACAACTGCTCACAACATGGAAATAACAAAGTAACAATCATGGTGATTCTGTTATTGCTCTAGATGTTTGATTTAATTTTATCAGTATTAAAAATAAAAGCATTTTTGCATTTGTTTTATAGTTAATTGTACTAAGACTCCTTGCAAGTCCTACTTTTATCTATTAAACCGCTGTATATCTATTTTCAGAACTCAATATACTGTCATTAAAATATCTCAGCCATTGGTGAAAGAAATAAGAATGCACACCATCCAATTTGGCATATAATACCTTGCTCATTTAAATTACAATAAAGCAAAAAGTTTCTTTATTCAAATGTCGAGCTTTACTTTTCTTAAAAAAAAGTTGTAGAAGTAGACGTCCTTGTTTGATAACCAACAATTAAGAGCTAATAATGAAGGAACAAAAAACTAACTTTCGCCCCTGTGCACGTCGCTTCAATGAGCTAGTGAAAGACTCATCCTCTACATCTCCTATATCTAATGAATCATGCAGATATTCCTCTGGATCTAATGGCTGTGACACTGCCCTTCCTAACTTGCTTTGTGATCCATCATTTCTTCTGCCACAGACATTTATCTGACTAGATTCTAGAATTAGTTTCTTCCCAAAATTGTCGACATGAGGGACGCTTATACACGTGGGAAGCACAAAACTGTCACTTTTAAACGGTCTGTCCTCTTCATATTCTGTAATATTTTTACTGTTGTTCATTGTCTCTGGTTTGTCAGCACACTTTGTGCTTCTGGAACGTCAGAGGTCTTTACATTCAGCACCACTGCAATGATCTCGTCTGGACAGAAAAAAAAAAAAGAAAATTAAGGTATTCTGTTTCTTTGACAATTTCTCAAAATGTCAAAACAACTGGTCCATGAAAAATTGGACTCGTCATGCTGTAGTAATAGGTCAAGATCTATAAATAAAAGAGAAACTTAAGTCAATTTTTGAAGTTATACAAGAAGTACAAAGTATGACTAGAAAGAAATTTGTAGGATGTCTAATAGGAATTAGATTTTACAAATAGTTTAATAACAAATTGCTTAGTTTGCAACTTTTAATCAACATATAAACATATAAATTAAATTATTAATATAAATATTAAAAATAATAATTAAATAAATTTGTTAAAGAAGTGGAACAAGCATGAGAATCATAACTTTGCTGATGATAGGGCAGCCATCTCACAACCAACCAAAATAGAAGAAAAATTCTTGTTATTGACGTTATGCAGGTCATAAAAACTCTTAAAAGACAAAGGTTTTGAAGATAAAGGGACTTGTAATAGAAAATGGTAGTCTTTTGGAAGAGTGGAGTTCTTCGCCTTCCTAAGTAACATCTTAGCAAGGACAGCCTTAGGCAAACTAGGCAGCCGCCTAGGGCCTCCAATTGGTACTTTATTGATACAAAACTCCTGAATAAAGTTGTAAAAAAAATTTAAACAAACAAGCAATCCTAAACTCCAATAGGCTGAGTGCAATGAAGATGGTAAAGAAGAAGAAAGGGCTTCAACTATTCTTTGTCCTTTCGACTTTGCTACTCACAAGCATCTCTTGCTGTTGTGGACGCATTCTAAAAACAAAATCAAACAAACTGCACCCATATATAGCCTTATAGAGCCAGCATGTGCAAATTCGACTTGCCATAGACTACCGGTACATAAAGTTGTTGTTCATCAGATGTCAGTCCCTCAAGATGCAATCATGCTCCAGTTGCTGCTCCAACAAGTGATACATAGAGTGCAGCACATGCAAAATACAAGCCTATGTTGTTTCGACAGAAAGATTTGCTGCAGCAGCTGGGCCCTACAATTGGTCTGATTATGCATCAGTTGGTGCTCAGCCTTATGGTGTAGATTATTCATTCCCATGGCAATCAGCAGCATAGATAGGTATTCTTGTAGTTCAAACTTTGTAACATATAGTGTGCGGCATGTACTAATTTTAATCAATCGAGATTTTTAAGACCAAAAAATGCCAAAGTCAAAGCGTAATTCATATCAGCCAATTTTAAGCTGCAAGTTTATGCAGTTTTATAGCTACAAAAGGCAACCCCAGGTTGAAAAGCCAAGTGCTTTAAACCACTCAGCCACCGTGCCCTTTACATCTAGATTTAGATCTATATTTTATAGGATTATTTATAATTATATAGTATTAGATCTAGACTCAAATCAGTCTATAGATACTAATTACTATCTATATAGACGATAGTATATAGTCATAGATCTAGATCTATAATTTTAATTAATTTAATACTTAAAAATTATAGATATCTAATCTAGATCTAGGTCTAGACCTATATAAATAATATTACCATAGTTCTAAATTTTATCTCTAGAGACTCTTACCAACTTTTACCAAGTCTTGCTAGACTAGATCTAGAACAGCATCTAGATTATCTATACTTTTTTTTGTTCTTATATAGATATTATAGATCTAGTTTAAGTAGTTACAACTAAATTTTACTACCGAATCTAAATGATTTGGTATACTCGCGTATATACCTCGCCTGAGCTAGCCAGAAAAACCAGTGACTTGGCAGAATTTAAGTCATTGGTTAATATGCATGACTAAATGCATGACGCGTAGGACGTAATCATCTTCTTTTTTGAAGTAACGTCTGTATTATATAAGATAAGATAAGATAAGATATACCATTGATTTAATAAAATTAAGTAAGTAAATGATTAAAATTAAATCAAATGTCTGTGTGACTGACAGACTGACTGTAGCTGTGTAACTACTGTAAGTACAGCAGTAGAGTCTAGATGACAAGATTCTAAGATGATTAGTGATAAAATTTTATATAATCTATAAGTATAATATTAATATAGTAGTATAATCTATTCTAATTAATATCACTAGAGTCTAGATGACAAGATTCTAAGATGATTAGTGATACAATTTTATATAATCTAGAATATAGATATATAATCTATAAGTATAATATTAAATATAGTAGTATAGTCTATTCTAATTAATACTAACTATAATTAATCTGTATCTACACTGAGCCACTATCTACACTAAAATTCTCTACACTTACACACTTTTCACTTAGTCTAAGTGAGTAAGTCGTCTAAGACTAAACTAAAGACGTTTTAATTGAGTGTGTGACTCTGTAAGTGTAAGTAGTGTAAGTGTAACTGTAAGTCATATGATAATCATACTGATAAGTGACAGTAGTCCTGACGGCGTACTGACAGTGTGCTATTTAATTTATTTAGTCTTTGTTTACATAAACTCCTCTGTATACTAGGCTAGTCATAGCTCTAGATTACTAGATATAATTTCTTACACTTGGACTTAACTTAAAGCACAATCAATGATAATCCGTAGTAATCGTGGTTTTCCAGTCTACGACTCTATCTTGTTACAATTCAAGTCCACTGATAAGGATGGGAAAGTTTACAGCTAATTTGTCTATCAGCACGTAGAATCTAGATTGGATCTATTTCTATTATAACGCAATATATATTGTATAAATATATGGTATATATATATTTATACTATATATATAGTGAGAGAGAGAGAGAAACAAGATATAATTTAATAGCCTTATGACCACTTGATCTATGATTACTATGAATTATTGAGTTTTAACATTTATAATAAAGAAAATTTATTAATACACCCTCCTCCATTATAAATGTTAAAACAAACCATTAAAACTTAATTATCTTTACACACTTTCTGCATAGTAATATATATATATATCCTTTAACATTGTGATAAAATTATTCTAGATACTAGATTTATTAGTTCTTTTTGTGAAATATTTTAAGGTTTAAAAACATGTTATTTTGAAATTGTTCAACTGATTGTTAATTTTTATTCCCCCCACCCCCTTTTTTTTTTCTTGCTAAATCTGTATCTCAGTCCAGGGAGTCAGATCACTATTCATTAATCTTGATGTAAGATTTCTTCTGTAGCATGTACAATACACAAGATGCGTTTAATATATTATTTTATTTGTGCTGTCACCAGGGCCATCCTTGGATAATTGGAGGTCTAGGCAAAGAGAATTTGGTGGCCCCAAATGAAATATAAAAAAAAATAAAAAGAAAAAGCCCAAAAAAAAAAAAATAATAAAATTATGCAATTTATTAAAAATCTACCCCTCTATATATAAAAACAAAAATAAATGAAATTCATATACCGGTATCACAATCTCCATGCAAACAACAGAGTTAGACTAGTAAACATAGTGCATTACTGTGTTTGAGATCCAATCCAAGTTTTGCAATTTTTCACTAAATTATTTTAGTGCTGTGCAAGGCTCCACCAATTGGAGGCCCTAGACAGCTACTATGCAATGAAATTTTATTTTGTTGAATCAGAGTATGCATAACATGGACAGGATTACATCTAAACAAATATAGATCACACCAACACAAGTCAATACTTGACAGACAAATAAAGAGATAAAAAGCAGATGTAAAGGTTAAATTTTTTAATGGTAATAATAGAATTTGTTTCAAGTCATACATTTATTACTCATGGGAATAAACAAAACAAAAAATAAAACATATTTCATAGGTGTAACATCATCCTAGATATATTTTATGCAGCATCTAATGGCGATGGGTATAACACAGTTGCTATCTATTTTCTTTAACTTCACACATTTTGAACTGACTTATGTAACATACTTGAAGAATACCAAATTTATTACTCCACTGTTCAATGTTGGCATCTCAGTGGCATAGCTGGGGGGGGGGGGGGGGCTGGTGTTGAAAATCTCTCCGGGCCCCTATTAGAAGGGGGCCTCCAAATGAGTGTTTTTTAACATTAAATATTACGGAAAATGCAGGGTCCCCCAAATGATGGAAAATTCTTAGCTACATCCCTGTGGTGTCTCCCTACATCATTCTTTTCATTCACAACAGAAGAATATTTGATGATGTTTGATGAATTAGGCCTGATACCCAGAGTTATCTTTCTGGTTGATTGTTTAACTTTACAGCCAGGTCCAGACGACTATTTGTGATGGGTGAAGGACAGAAATCATATCTTTATACGGTTAGAGTGTTTCAGCTTGATCATACTTGGAAGACACTTTTAGAGTGGAGAGCATAAAAAAATAAAGGATACAGGATACATGCAATAAGAAAAAAATTATCCAAGACATTGAACTTTTTCTGGGGCGTGAGTTTCTCGTTTTTAGGGGGGAAAAAAAAACTTAGGTCCTACCAATGACTGTTACATGCTAGTCAAAGCATATTTAATAAAGCTCCCTTTTTAGATCTAGTGGTCTAAATGGCAGATGATGTAGAGGTCATCTGTTTCTGTGTACTAGGGTTAATAATGCTCCCAATACTTGTCAGGTACCCATTAGAAATAGGTGGACTCATATTCAAAATCCCAGTTTTCACCAGGATTGGAACCCAAGACCCTTCGGTTCAGAAGCCAAGTGTTTCACCACTCAGACACCACAGCACATTTACAGCTTAAAACAATTAGAGACAAACAGGTGGAATTCAAAATTTATATAAAGCAGAAGTTTCAAAATGTTCAACATGTAAAATAAAGTGTCTGATTGAGACATTTGATAAAAGAAATAGAAAAAATCAATGCGAAAACATTTCATGCTATAATTAGATCAATGTAATTTCCATAAGTTAAAAATAAATACAGATTTGTCTCAAAGAAAAAAGTCAATTATTTTTAAAACAACAAGTACATAAATTATTGAAATGGAAAATTACTTTTTGGGGCAGTGAGTATAATATGCAAAAAAAAATCTGAGACTCAAGTACCCAGATGAACTGTTTGCTAAGTGACTTAACACTGCATAGAAAACTTGCAGATACTCCCTTCCTCACATGTCTATGAAACTCATTAGACAAGCTAAAAATAAAATTATCAAAAAGCACCAACCACTATATTGGACAAACTAAATACATTTGTGTGCATTTGTCCTAGATTATCAATGAAGAGAATTAATATACAACTTAAAAAAAAATATATTAAGTTATTGGCATACTAAACATTTGTAGTAAAAGTCAGGTTTTCAAAGAAAAAAAAAACTTGACAAAACACTTTTCATTTAAATCAAATAGGAAAAAAGAAAATACTGAATTATTTAGAGATATGGTATAGAAGGTTCTAGTTTGGTCATACAGATCCAGACTTAGAAACATAAAAAGAGAGTAGTCTAGACTGATTCCTACATAAGATAGAGCACACAATATTCCTGAAGCTCTATTTGGTTATTTAATTTAGTGAATATATGTGGAAATTCTCATTCTCAAGATAGATCTCTTGACCAAATTTAATTTTAAGATGATTATATTTTGAAAAATTACAAGTCAATCAAGAGTTTTCCATGTGTGGCCAATTAGCGATTATTATTATTTTTTAACATACACATATTACCCACCCACCCAGAACCCATAAAGAATTTACAAGCTGATAATAGGAATTGTAAAAAAAAAAAAAAAAAAAAAAAAAGCAAGAGGGAGATAAATTATTTCTTATGAATTGCTCACCCAAGTAAATTTAAGGAACAAACAAAAATCTAAAAAACAATAAATGGAATTTATATATATTTATATATCTGCTAACTGAATTTAATAAAATAATCAGATGAAATGTATAATGTAAAAATATGATTAAAGCCATAACATTGGTGCTGCTGAAAGCTACACTGAAGTTGCAAAAAAAAAAAAGACTAACGACCCCAAACAAAAAATTTGACGTCTCATAAAAAACCCAATGCAATATAGTTTGATTGTTATAATATAATTTAACCTAACAAGTATATATTCAATGTAAAAGAAACAACAACCCAAAAGCAAGTGTTCATAGACGGTGGGAGTTATTTGTAATTTCTGCATGCTTTTAGTTAAGTGGTTAAAATATTTAAAGTTTATGAATCAAATATCAAAAGATCTGGTGGGCAAGCCAGGTTCAAGGCAATGTAACCAAAAATGTTAAGAAATATGAAAGAACAACCAAATAATAATTTGATATTTTTAATTTCTGGCTCTGAAACATTCTTTTATTTCGAGATGGTGTTGTTGATGGTCTGATGCACATCTATATAGTCTTGACAGTATGAAAGAATGTATCCAGTTTGCATAGAGTACCCTGTCTCTGCTAGGTAATAGGACAGCAAAACAATTACAACATTATGTAACTGGCACCAGCAAGTTTTCTGCGACCAGGTAAAGGGTAACTGCTGTAGTAGTAGAAGATCCATAACAGTATGTTGACATACATTCTTGCATAAATAGACCCAGTCTCTTCATTTCAATTTCAAAATAAGGAAGGCTACTATAAAAAAGTAAAGTTCCCTTTCAGACCTTGCGATCTATAGGGCTGATGATGTAAAGGTCATCTGTTTCTGTGGCCTACGATTAATGAGGGTGTCATGGAGCCAGCACAACAACCAACCACCTTTACTTTCCCAAACTAATGCAAGGTATCTATTAGAGCCGGGTGGACTCAAGGCGCCCAAAGATCCTGAAATTAAAATTCCCAGACTTCACCAGGATACAAACCCGGGATTCCGAGCACTTTACTGCTCAGCCACCACACTTCCAAAATAAACAATAGTAAAAAAAGAAAAAAAACAACATTAATTGATCTAAAAAAAACTAACCAACAACACATAATTTTCAGCTTTCACATACTGCACTTAATTACAACTTAAGCTTACCTATATTCTACAAATATACTAGTTACAGTATACATTAATTACACAAATTTTCATCAGCACAGCATCAGATTTTTAAAGTGTCAGACTATTAAGAGTCAACTGTATATATAGAAAAAAACAACAACAAAAAACAAACAAAAAAACAACAACAAAAAAAACAACCATGCCAAAGCAACAAAAGAAATATCTCATGTATGGAGAAAACATACTCATTAAAACAAATTTCATCTCCACATTGTGCTAACCCTAACCAATATAAAAATGAATAGAAGGGGAAAACACATGTAAGAATGTCTGATTATTATCACTTTTAAACATAAAATATTCTTTTGGTGTAACAATATGGATGTTTCAAAAATATTTTCCTATAACATTGTTTAACTGAAGGCAAGCAAAAGAAATAAAAAAATAAATACAAAATTAGTACTTCTTTAGTTCAACAACAAAAAAAATGTTTTGTTTGTAAAAAAAAAAAACTTCTAAACTTTCGGTTATTTGAACTTTTATAATTTTCTTTACATTGGCCTAACTTTATGCAGTAAATTTACATCTCAATAAATTATAGGGGGGAAAATGTACAAGGTATAAACAAAACATTTTTTTTTCATTTGTAAAAAATATTAACAAAAAATGAAACGAATGAGTGGATTGATTTGTATTATCAACAAATAGACCAATGTTTATATTGTATGTCAAAAAAAAAATAAATACTAGACTGACAGTAATGCCATTTATCACTTGTTTCAAAGAAATTTACTTTAAAAAAAATTTCAAAACTTAAATGTATAAGTGTATACAATGAAAAATATAATGACAAGATTGTCACAAAAAATGGCATTTCTGTAAGGTAATGAATCTCTTGGGCAAATAGAAAATGAGATTTTGCTGATGCTACAATGCAGTAAATAGAAATGGTAGCTGTAAACATATTTTTGAGATGCTGACAATTTAAAAAATGTTCACAAGCACTCAGGTGGACATTCTCTTGTTTTTGAGAGTAGCATTCAGCTGTAACAGACTATTCATTTTGCCTAAACCTTTAATACAAATTGCATTGTTTTGAAAAGCAAACTCTGCAAAAATAAGGCATCAAATCCCCTCAAGATTAAATAACTATCAATATAGTCCAAATCTTAAAGCACTTCTATAGATCTTAAAGAAATTGAAATGTGTCTCATAAAAAGGATTCTTCAACAAGTTTCTGGCTACAGGGATAACACAGGCTCATGGTAAGGAGTTGCACAAAATGAATTCAGCACAGAGGTGGTAGCAGACAGCTCAGAGAATTCATCATTATTTTCATATGATGTATGATATATCAATATTATAATTTATGGGTGTTTTATAGGTGCAATGTTTTATGCATATTTTACTTGGATGCACTCTTTAACATTTACATGGAATCAGCAACAACGACAGCTGTCTAGAGCAATGGTGAGATTGTGTATTTTTATTATTACAAACAAAAACCAACATAATAAATAACAAAAAGAAAATGATAGATTCACATTTGTAACACATCTTGCAAAACTGATATACAACTATGAGTACAAACACAATCTTATTACTTATAGTGAACAGTCTAAATATAGGTAACAAATATAATAATAAAACAGCAATTTTCTGAACAAAAAGAGTTATTTACTATACAGCCAAAAGAGAAACTGAAGCCTGTTCACCTTCTTCATAGTATGTCCACATTTTTTCTTCAGTTACATAAAGTCTGCCTGCAGCTAAGGTTAAAGTGGCAGAAAAAAATGTCTGCGCTGTGCAGTCTACATTTTTTTTTTAAATTTCACTTTGCCACTGGGCACCAAGAAAACAACAACAAATACTTCTATAAAACTTCTATAAATAGCAACATTTCTCATGGAGGTCATGTGACTTGACTTCCAAGACAAAGATCAAATTGATACAAAATTTTACAATCAAATTATTGCAAATTAAGAGCATAACCAATCATGAACAATAACGGGTAAGCAATTATATGAAAATCACAGATCTTTCAAGTTATTGGGTTTTACACATATACTTTCTTATTTGTTTCTTGAAATTGTTCTGTTG